TAGTTTTCCAGCAGTTTAAACGTTAGGATTTGGATTCCTAACTTCAAAAATATTTCGTTAAATGCTATGTTTCGCATTGATCAACGAATCAAAAGAAAGAAATGATCACGCAACCTAACGATGTAAAATTCCTGGAAGCAAAGTTTTCATGCATTCAACAAAGTGCTAATAAAAGCTGTTTCCTGGTCTAATTCTACACATAAGGCAAACCATGGAAGCACCCACACAACCAGCCTTTTCGCCTACATTCGAAGCTAGGTCGAATTACCTGTATTCAGTGGTCTTATCCACTCTGCAAATGGGGAGTCTAAATTACTGCTTCCAATTTTTTCTACATTAATTAAATTAACTCTAATTTAGCTTAATAAATCTGAAATTTTTTTTATTAACCTTCTAAATAAATTACATTCTAAATTAACTAGCATTTTTCCATTATTTAGAGGTACATATGGTAAGAATCCAAAAATTTGGCACCTAGTGATTCAACATATCCGATAATCTGATGAGCATATATCCACTAATACTATCTGAGGAGGTCATTAGTAGGTCATTCAGGAAGCATTTGGCATTTATTGCTAGAACTGTGACTGAATGCTATGTAGGAAAGTTTTCTTCAAGAAAGCAAAATCGGTAAGCCATAGAAAACTTTGAGGCATTTTGGCGAATTTTTACAGAAGAAGAGAACGATGATTTATTATTCCAAAAACTTACTTTACGATTATAAACGTAATTTTACATACATATTTCAGATTAAGTATTTATCTTGAAAAACCAATCTATAAACCTCTTTACAAGCAGATTTTTGCTTCTTTTGTTCTGACGGAAATTTCGTAAGGGTCGCTTTAAGAATAGATTCAAAATTCAAAAACAATTTTTCCCTTTAGCGAGTTTTGCGGCAAAATACTGTAAAAAATTGTATGGCAGTTATATGTTCCGTTTTTATAGATCCCTCAAGCTCTATTTTAAAACTGAATTCAGTCCAAAAAATTTTTACGATTTTTCTTTTAATACCGTTGGAACTTGGAATGAAACAAAAAGAACGCATACGAAAATGGTAGGTTAATCTGAAGAACTGTTATAGGCATGGTATAGAGGTTTGAGCTTTCTGAAAATTTCGCGACGTCTAACTGAAGTGATTGCGTCAGTACGTTAGTACTACAAAAATATTTATAATCTTATGATTAACTTCTCAAAACTGCGGAGCACAATCTAAAACAGTTCTTTGAACAATTTCCTATTCTCACTTTCCGAAGATAAAATTTGATGAATGAATTAAAGAAAATTCATATATTTATATGAAATCTGCAGTTTTGTCTGGTTTATTTGATTATGGGAAAGCACACGAGAGCTATCTGCCTAAAAAGAGAATGTCTTCGTGGATGACTTTCTAACAGAAATTGACCGACCACGTCACACACAGGGAAATTCATGAAAACGTCCATAGAACCAGCTCGACACGTAGGATTTGAATCCGGATACCAAAGTTCTGCAATTTTACTGCTTGGACAGAGAATCTGAGAAAATTTAAAGAACATAATAACCACAAAGTAGGAAAGAAATAATTATACAGCATAATCTTCTAAACAATGTTTCGACATGAAAGTGGACATTCTTCTCGAACTGTGAAAACAGTAGATTCCGAAACATAAACTGAGAATATAATATAATAAACGATATCTAATCTGCAATGATCTTCTAGTATGTTTTCAGACATTAAGTATATTTATAGAACATTAACTGAGTGTTCTAACAAGAAGTTCAAAAATATTTAGGAAATACCGCCCAGAGGCTGTAGTGGTTAGAGGAGCCGACTGCAACACCAAAGGGCCCGGGCTCGAATCCCGAAGAAGGCATGGCTGTCCCCTAGGAGGCAAAAGTGGCCCACCAGTTAGGTGCCTCCTTCATAAAGTGGCCACCACTTCTGGCCCTTTATAGCGGCCAATGTCTGTGGACGGTTTGGGCCCGCCATTGGGAAAACAAAATTAGGAAATTTTTTTTTTGCCACATCATCTTAAGTTCAATAATCTGATAATTTGTTCGACATTACCAAAGTCCGAAACTTTCCGCAATATTCAGATTTTACTGCGCGTATTTTATAATGAAAGCAAATTGATTTGAAGATACTAAATTCAAAAGCGGTGTCCTGCAAAATTTATGTTCCCGAAATGATTTTCGTATATGTGTCTGCTCATCAAAAAGTTATGCGATAAAGACGTTTGTAAGCTTCCACTAAAAAAAAAAAAAAGCTCATTCATTATTTTAAATTATTTAGGAGAGTAAAATATTTCGTAATGTAATTGCAAGGATGTATTGTAATAGACATTGTGGCATGCTACTGACTTGTTTTCGCCAGATAAACAGGAAGAAATACCCTTTATTGAAGCAAATAATAGCTCTACAGCAAGGTAAGCAACTGTAAATTCCTCAAGGAGAAATTCAAAGTTAAATTCTCAAGGTGAGAGTTGCAATACAATCAGTCGCACGAAGCTTGCTCGATTAACTGACTGATGGGACTTAGACTCTATAATTGACCGAACTATTGCGAAGAGCAACGTTGCCGGCCAGAATTAAAGCCCAACGGCGCATAACATAAAGAAATCTGGATGTGAAAAAAATCTCAGAGGAGAAAACGGAGAAAAGGAGAAAAGAGAAGTACCAAAAAGAGCAAGACAATCCAATCAGACAAGTTCGCAAAACGTGGCGAGCGATCAGAGCTTTCAAGAAGGATCCAAGACAATGCAATTTCAATGGCAACACTATGAGAAAGATACTCTATAGCAATGGTTTCAATGACGATTTCAAGTTCCTAAAACAACCTCAATCAAAACAACTAAATACAAGCACAATGATACAATGCACTATTCGCTAAAGCAATACTGCAACAACATATCGCTACAGCAGTTACAACTACAACAATTCGGCTACAAAGTCACGACAAAATGCAAAAAACTCATACCAACAGATACAACAATTTCCAAGAACAATATTCATACTATAGAAGAACTTCAATCAAAATCAGATGCATTGGAAGTATCAGCTACCAATTAAGGAGCTAAGTGATAAGGTTGTCATCATGGGAGGCCATGAAGGTGTGAGCTGCAAATGGTCTGAGGCTTCTATCTTCGAAGAGAATTTCATAATTAAAGACTTGAGAGTAATTAATGAAGTCGCATTGCACAGCTTTGTTGAAGAATTTTTCATTAGAACTTCTGATATAATAGGACTGGAATAGTCTCAAGTTTTAAATCTCTATGTAAAAGTTCATTACGGATAAGAAATTGTGAGTCAGTAATAATGCGTGACTGATAGGTTCAACACAGCTGATATTTATAGGGTGGGGCCAAGCCTTCCAGAAGCTTTAAGGAAAATCGCTTTTAAGGCTTTGAAAATACAATTTCTTGGAATTCTAGATGTCGCCAAGTTAATGAGACACAGCCAAACAGAGCCAAGATCCGATAATAGGATTTCTACCCATATTTCTGGCTTTCATTTCAGCTATCTTCATCAGAATTACAGAATTCATTTAGAATTACAGAATCTACAGTGAAATCCTTTACGCTAGGGGGTCTCCGCCGATAACATCGCGGCAAAAACATCGCGGACGAAAACGTCGCGGAGAAAACAACGCAAGGCGAAAACGTCGAGCTACAAAATATCGTAGGAGAAAACATCGCAGTTCTAAAACATCGTGGTACAAAACATCGACGTCGAAAATAAAGCGGTTCAAAAACTTCGCAGTTTAAATACATCGTCGGCGAAAATATCGTGGTAAAAAATACAGTATCTACAAATCATCGCATGACGATAACATCGCAGACATGCGTTTTTTCAGGTTTTAATAATTGTAAATGGATATTCCCATAATGATTTGAGAGCGCAAAATGTAAAGAAGTATAATATTTACTTTCACATTTTTTTAACTAACAAATTTTTGCTGAAAAATTAAGAAAGAAGCATAGAAAATTAAATGCAACTTATAGATTATACTTTTCATGAAAAATTACCAGTAAAAACTTTATAAAAAATGATTTATTAATGGCCTTTGTTAGTTAACTATGTCGGTTTAAAATTCTATTAAATGCTATAAGTTTCATTCTTATTTTCTCAGCAAAAGTTTATTAGTTAATAAAAAATATAAAAGTAAAAATTATCCTTCTTTCCATCTTGCGCTCACTAATCATTATGGGAATATCCATTTACAGTTATTAAAGCCTGAAAAAAGCATGTCTGCGATGTTATCGTCATGCGATGATTTGCAGATATTTTATTTTTTTACCACGATATTTTCGACGACGATGTTTTTAAACTGCGAAGTTTTTGAACAGCTTTATTTTGGACGACGATGTTTTAGAACTGCGATGTTTTCTCTTTGCGATGTTTTCTCCCACGATGTTTTGTAGCACGACGTTTTCGCCTTGCGTTGTTTTCTCCGCGACGTTTTCGTCCGCGATGTTTTCGGTTGTAACCATGCTAGGTAGCGTGATCTCTTGATGCAAGTGCTGTTCTGAAGCACAGCTAGTTAGCAGCTGGAAGAAGCATGGTTCAAATTCGATGAGAGTAAAAACTGATTTTTCATGTTTCCTACTTCTTAAAAAATACCAAAGACTCTATATATTTTTGATGAAGTCCTTTATGAAAACATCTAAGCATTCAGCTCTCAATTGTTTTGTCGTAATTAACAATTTTTGTTTTCCAAGAAACACTCCTTGTACATTAACTTGATGTCAGTAGCTCTTCCTAAAGAGTTTTTTCATTTTTTTTACTGGTTAGATGAATTTTAGTACCATTTGTGTCACGCTTTCAAAACAAAAATTATTTCATGCAAATTCAGTAGAACTTTCTCTATATTTTTATTGCAATGATTTTTAAAGTGCTACATGTATTGCGGAAACATGCTCATAAAACATTTTCATTCACCATATTTTCAAAATCAATAAAATAAAAGTATATTAATTGTTTTACCTTATATCAGTAACACTAGTGTTTTGTTCTCTTTGCAGAAATCATGTGTATTCTTCTGTAGAGCCTAATTTCCTTTCAAAACAGAGATTTCTCACTGAATATCAAAAGGTACAAATCAAAGATACTATAAATAGAATATATCCCTAATTTTCAGACCTAATTAAGAAATTTCCATTTAACAGCACATAATGAAGCTGTTTAGTAGATATGATTCACAAAATTTTCCTTGCATATCAGTGTACTCATTTCAACTCTGCAATATTTGAAAGCCCTTATGTAGCCTTTCTTCGGAACGGCATTAAAAAACTCAGTCATATACACTCAAAAGCCAAAACATTATGACCACCTGTCAATAACGAGTTGGGCCACCTTTGGCGCGCAACACAGCTTCAACCCGCCTTGGCATGGATGCCACAAGTTCTTGATAGAGGGCGGAGACAGATTGTATCAGATGTTGTAGCAATGGTCACGCAAATCCGAGATATTGCGAATTGGTGGTCTTTGACCTCTGAGCTGCCGTCCCATGACATCCCAAATGTGTTCCATCGGATTGAGATCCGGTGAGTTAGGCACCCAGGACATTAACTGGAAATCAGCATCATGTTCCTGAAACCACTGCAACACAATTGTAGCCTTGTGACACGGGGCGTTGTCCTGTTGGAACATTCCATTTCCAGCTGGAAAAACAGAGGCCATGTAAGGGTGCAACTGGTCCGCAATGATACCTGTAGTCAGATACCCTGTAGCATTCATGGTCTGCTCTACCACAACCACGGGTCCCAGAGACCCCCAAGAGAACGTCCCCCAGAGCATAATACCGCCACCACCGGCCTGTGTATGACCTACTGTGCATTGAGGGAGCAACTGTTCGCCTGGAAGACGGCGTATCTTGACACGGCCATCGAACAAACAATGACAAACCGTGATTCATCTGACCAGGCAACTCTTTCCAGCAGCAGTTAAATACCACTTCCACCTGATCACGTGCCTTCCACGTCATCCAGGCGCGTTCATCGCAAACTGTAGGGCTGGTCATAATGTTTTGGCTCTTGAGTGTATATCGAATATCTTTAAGATAATCAAAACAAGTCTTTTCATTTGAGTCTTAATTTACTTGTTATAAAATACCTCGCGGTAAACATCTCTGATGAATAAGAAAGATGTAGAGCACAAAAAATGCGCTTGGAGACCAAAACCTTAATTATTGACTGGTGAGGCCGTATATTCTTATACAGCGACGATCAAATGCCCTACTGTCGTATGTATATAATTCAAACTTTTAAAGCATAAAAAAAAAATTCTGAAGAGTTATACTATTAATTTGTAGTTAGCCAGGAGTTATTTTGGGGGGTCAAAGAATGACCAATATGTGGCAATGTGATGCTGCAATACTGAAGAAGAAAGCAGCCCCAGTGCAAAGATGGCTGCTTCATTGCCTACCTGCACCACGTTAGAATAGTAATCTATGATGTGATTTCTGAGTAGTGAAGATGTTAAACCAGCTGAAATTTAATTCAAGATAAAGCGCAATATAATGATATATCCCTGCAAAAATCTACGAGTGGTGTAGTAAGTTTAAAATCGGCGTCACTTCTGTAAAGAAGTGCATCCTATCAGCACATAAAGTCATGCTTGCTCTCTTCTGGGATGCAAATGGGATAATTTTGAACATTTCATGGAAAATGGAGTAAAGATAAGTGTCGGACCCTCCTTAATTCGGACTTCAGTTTTGTAAATCGGGCCCTGGCCTTATGCGTGAATTATTAACAAAATATGCGTAAAATAATGGTAATTGCTGCAGTTTGAAAAGTTTGAAAACAATTTAACTATCTCTGGAAAATTCTTATTCAGATAATTTCTGTTTTTCAACGATTTCTCCGCTTTATCACCAACTACGAAAAGACTGTTGACGTCTCTTTTTATTATTTTTTTTATTATTTTTATTTTTATTGAATCCATAATGATCTTCCTTTTACTACTGGTTCTCTAACATAACGTCTCAAGTTGTACGACTGGATTGATGATGCTACATTCATATTAGCTTCTAGACAGCTCCTCATTTTTTTGGCTCTTCCATAATGTAAAGATAATTTTCTTTTTCTTTCTCTACAGTCTTAAATTTTTAATACTTTCAAGAGAAGTTATTGTTAAGTTTATTTATGAAACTCAATAAGGATTTTGCAGTAAGTATCCAAGGCAATATTATTTATATTATTAGGGCTCGTATTAAAATTTTTGTAAATTATTGTGCAATTAACACCTGTATGCCAAGTAAATCAGCGCATACTATTATAGTAATTTTGATTTTTGTATGGCCCCTCTATCTAGCCATGGACCTATTACTTATTCTTCCTCTAATATGTATTCCGGCGAAAAAATAATTTCATTAACAACTAAATGCGAAAATCATAGGTACGAGTTGAAGCAAGGCCGCCACCTATGCACTAGGCATATTAAGTATCGCCGGACCTTGCTTCTTGCTAAACTTCCGCTCCGCGTGAAATTCCAAGGAAGAACACCCCGCAGGCAGTTTGAAGGTTGCTCATCCCTCTTCCCTTATCACCAACCACTCGAAAGGATTTCAGCTCGCCGTATATTTTGAGTGCCTCGTGCTGCGTGGACATTTTATGCTTACAAAAATCCGTACCTTCTCGGGAATTCGAGCCCGAGCCCTTCGGTATATGATAGTCAATGTCATGAATCACTGTCAGTAAGTCACTCGTTATCCCATCTGGACTGCATTTCGCAAAACCACAGCCGGATTAAGAGTATCAGATACCCAAACTGCAAGACCAGGATAAAGTTTCAAATTTCACCCTTTCTTTGACGACATAAAGAAAGGCTGCTTTACGGTTTGTCGAGCAAAAATTTTCTGCTGTGCTTCCTTCCGCCTTGGTGTCCTTGACGCGGGCTTATATTGCTTAATGCTTATGTTTATGCTTTACTTTCACTACAGGCATCAACTTCTTAGAGTTTAAACCTGATCATTCTAACTTGCCATACGGCCATTCACGGTGTTGTAGAAAAATTTAGAGCGCTATCACGCCTCTCACCCAAAGGCGAAAATAAGAGTCTGAGAGATCAGGCAATCAGAGCTTTGAGGTGGCAAATCAAGGTGGCGTAAACTAACATATAGCAAAAATTTCAATTTTTAAGTCATGAAAATCATCTGAGTCCTGACTGAAGAACATAAAACTGTTTAGTAAGAGATTCGAAAGAATAATATCTAAGTCTTGAGAATTCAGGGTATGAGTATCACGTTGACCGGTACTAGCCAATACGGTTGGATCCCCAGTGGTAGGCGTGGTGAGTTCAATTATTTACACTATTTACACTTTGTACAAATAACACTAAAAGTCTTTGCCTGTCTAGGCACTAAGTCCATATTCTTAGCAGTAAAAACAAACACACATTCACAAACACGAAATAAATCTTGGTTAAATACTTGGATAACTACTAGGATTAAATGCTTGATTACTACTTGAATAAAATGAGATAAGTTATTGCTTAATGTTTAAAGAAGTCCTAATAAGAGCTACTAATATTCAGAAAGTTGCATTTGAAGATATCTGAATATTTTTGGGGTTTAGCTTTTTACTTTAGAGAGCTGTAAATCAGAGAGGCCCAGAAAACTTTTCGAAAAGGAATCAAGAAATGTATGTACATTATTGTAATGAAATCAACGGCTATTAATGGGACAGTTTTCCAATGAATAGCCAGAAACATGAAATGTCTTCAATGGTAGGAAAGTAAGAGACATTTTCAGCATTTACTACAAGTCTTTATGATTCCCGCAGATTATGTACGTATAATAAATAATAAATAATTCATATGTTTATTCTTATTCTAACAGATAATAACATAATATCAACAGCTTATAAATTTAGTATTTGCTTGTGATTTTATGAATTTGTGTACTGTTCTGCATTATTGTTAAGTACTCATTTATTTAGTCACTTCTAGGTCAATGTGTGTATATTCATAGCTTAATTTGTAAAATATTTGTTTGTGACCTCTTATTAGGGATGTTTGTATTTAATTCTTATATTATTTTGTAGAGCTTTTAACTCGAATTCGAATGGCGAGGGAATTATGAAAATACCTCAGAGAAAGCCTTAGAAATGGTTGGAACCGCTCTAGTGATCGTTGGCGACTGTGTCCTCAAATTAACGATATTTGAAAATTACTTGCGATAGTCAGAAAGTTCCCAAAACATGCGTTTTACAACCAGTATCCAGTAAAGAGCGAATCTTGTAGAAGCATCCAGTAATGCCTTTCTTCCTCCATGCGCAGTAGTGTAATTGAGAGGGTGGGTACAGCTATTAGTTTATGAGTTCAAACCTTAGATTATTTTACAGTAATACGATGCTTAGTTTATTACTTTACTGCCTAAGCAATTTCACAATTTGCAATATTCGCTTGATGTTAAGAAGAGGTACTGCTAATTTCTTAACTTCTGCAGTTACTTTATACCTTTCTAGTTTCTTTAACCAAGAAATAAGATATTATAACTGTATGGACAAATCAACACAAAATGGTTTTGACTATAACTTGTACTACATTAAGTGATAATGTTCAAATAAAGAACTGCTCATAGAGGCATTAAATTCACAGTTAGGCTATCTGCTTCTTATTAGTTTCCAAAAGAAAAAATTACAGTTTAAAGAAAAACACCTAGACTGAATTTCACAAATAACTGTATTGTAACGTCACTTAGACAGAAGCTCAAAACCCACAAAGTATTTCCTCTTCAACAAAATCTAGTAACTAAGCGTAATAACCACGAACAGAGTGAATCTTCTACTTTGTAGGAGCATGAGTTGTTATCACCTGTAAACTTAATTACGTGTCACTTAAGTTTGCATAATCTTCTAGTTGTAAAATAGCCGAACAGAAGGTATGCAACTTGAAGCTTAATCGTTAGTAAAATTTATGTACAATTATCACATTATTAGCAACTGGAAGATTAGTTTCTTTTTGTTATTAACAGTCTTTCCTCCCCCCCCCTCTAGGAATATCTCGATTTCTTTGGTAAGGATTTGACACCCATTGATAAGCGCCATATTGGTGCTGGAATATCTTCTAAAGTAAGATTTTCATAAATTTCATCTTCTGTATTAAATTACGTATTTAAAAAATTTATTTATGTGTAATTTATCACATCTTAATTATATTACATATTCATTTAACGTCCTCAGTATTTCAATAAGCTAATATATTAGTTTTGGTGATACATTGTGGGTACAATGTTTAGAAAGAAGTACACTAGTGCAAATATTAAATAAAATAAAATAAAATTTAAACACAGAAAATATGTATCGATTAAAAAAAAGAATTATATTCTCGAAACGTGTATATGCTTTCAAGAATTATAAAAGTGCTTAGAATTTTGGTTCAGTGAAACGCTGTATTAAGAAATAATCACAAGGCAGATATATTCGGCGTGGTATGGATCTAGAAAATCTCATAATGTCTTCCAGTGGAAGATTCTGCCATAATTTGAGTTCTTAAAGTTACTTTTGACATAAAGTTAACAATCAGAGATTTCTAGAGATATAATTTAAATATTTTCCATTGCCTAACTCTCATTAATAACTCTCATACGCAGTAAGTAACTCACAGAACTATGAATTCGGTCTGAATGAAATTTTTAGGTCTTTAAAATTTTATTACCTTGATATTATGTCAGTAGGCAAAATCATGAGCTTGGAAATTAATAACGAAGACATGAAAGAGTTACCAGAAGACCAATAAAATGAGCTCAATAAGGGAGAACTGGAACTGAAGCAACTATAAATGTCGATTGTGGAGGAAGTGTCTTCAAAGGCAAAGGAAGAAAAGGTAGATGATCCTAGTTCTTTGATTCGCAAAATTTGTGCTAAATGGAATAAAGGGAAAGGTTTTATGTAACGATATTAATGATTTTTATTATTCTATTTATTAATCCAAATGGGCAATTTGCCCTGAAAGACTATTAATTCCGTTTTGGCATTTTCGTTGATTCACTACAAGCGTTGTTTCACTTTTCAAATTGTTGCCACCAAATATTATCGTTCTGTATTATATATAAAGAAATTAATGAAGAATCTGCATAAATGTATGTTGTTTCTCACACTGTGATAAGACAACGGTACCTAGAGCCATCAAATTTTGAATAACGTAATCCTCCTGTGAATATGGGCAACTGGAAGCCCAAATTCGAAATTTGTTTTATTATCGATTTTCATATTTTGTAAAACTTTACCGAATTTTTAAGTAACAAACTCGAAGATTGCAAAACGAGCAATGGCAACACCGTACGGGGGTGACATTTTTATCTCCAGCGCGCGAAACTGTGTACCAAAAATTCTAAAGCTATGCTCTTTTTACATAATTTTGTGATATTGCTGTTGAAGTGAATTCTATGGTTTACCTGTGAAGAACATGATACTATTTAATAAATAATGTAACACACAAAATGTTTAAAAAAAAAAAAAAAAAAAGCGCCCCTTTGGACGTAATTTAAAATCTGAAACTTTTCAGAATTTTTTTTTGTGTGTGTGGTGGGGGGGGGGGTTGGAGATATTGGACGTCCGAATTTCTAGCATTGTACTGTATTTCTTTACAGGGTCCTCCTGATGGGCAGCCTGAACCTTACCAGATTGGCGATGGCATCATTCCTCCATTCAGAGGTGAATCCGTTTCCAAACAAGCACATCAACCACAACCTCCAATCAGACAGCTTCCAGCTTATAAACCTCCAGAAGATAAACCTCCGATGTTACTAGGACCGGAAATGATGGAAGTTGAATCATATTCCAGTTGGTCGCACAGACCTTTCCCTCTGGAACTAGCTCGAAGAACTCGCCCCGAAATTCCAAATTGGGTCTTGAACATGAAAAAGCCATTGAGGTACGAATCACGGTTTGACCTAACCAGTAGTTATCAAGCAGATTATTGTGGCCCAAAGACAAAGGTAATTTGTACGTTTACTTTGTATTGTTAAATTAAGTGCACTTTCTTCATATATACTTCTAATACAGTGGTTTTCTAACTTTTTTTTCCCCATGCGCCCCTTTCACTATTGCTAGAAGATCATCTCGCCTCCTTTCCAAACCTTGAAAATTGCATATATATGTTTATTCGCATTTAGATTTTTCTAACGTATATCATAAATTAGACAACAAAAAATACAGAAAAATGTTGGTAAATACCAAAATATGAATGAAAGTAGTTTATTTCAGCTCATAAACTAAAATTAAATACTTAACAGCTAGATGAAAGGCTTCCGCATTCCCGCTCCTGAAACTATGAATCCCCTATAGAAGGGAATTATCCTCTCCCGCCTTGGTTGAGAACCCCTGTGCAGCATCATAAAGCCATATGGCTTTATAAACAAAGGCTGGTTACAAATCGCCTACATCGTACTAAAAACACAAGTTTGGTTTTGGTTTATTATATTATGTCAGAGCATTCGAAGGCTATCTGACTAAGGATAGAGATACCTTGTGGAAGATTTTCTGAGAAAACTGACTGATATATTTGTTACGCATGGGGAAAACCATGAAAACGTCCATGCATCCAGTCTGTTCGCAGGGATTCGAACCCATGGCTGAACTAGCAGTGTTCGGCGACTTTATCGCTCAGCCGCTGGTGGGCGCGCTAAAATCACAAAGCAGCAATTTTGACATTATGAATGTCCTTAATGGAGTCTATCTAGAATTTCTAGAATATTAAAGTTAAGCTAAACCCCGGTTAATGACGTTATGTTACCCTATCGTGCGATTTCCATGATGAAACACTTGTCAAAACGTACACAAATTTTGTACGTGTACAAATTTTGTGTACGTTTTGACAAGTGTTTCATCATGGAAATACACGTTCAACAAACGTGTATTTCCATGATGAAACGTTCAACAGCGTGTACAAAATTTTGGGACTACACGTTCATAGAAAATCGATAGTTTAAGAAAACATTCTTACTTTGTAGCCTTCATTATACGATTTTTGCAAGTTTATAAAGCGTTTGAAGCGTTCCTTGATTCCTTCCTAGGACCCATCTCTCGGAATACTAATTTCTGGTTACAATTTCTGAATATTAATATAAATTCTTTTAAATAATATTTAAAATAGTAATATCAGACAATTTCACTTTAGGGACGAAACTGCAGTCATCAGATGCCAAAAATTATGAATGGGTAGTTGGAAATGGTGGCACGTTTCTTTGCTAGAAACTGCTTGGTAAGGATAGAAGAGTGATGGCACGTTATCGTGCAAAAGAAACCAGTTAATTGATTGTGCTTTTACTGGTTAAAAGCGCTGACTTCTGTTCATGACTTTATGCTTTTATAAAATATGAAGTTCACCATCAGCCCGTCAGGAACAAATTCCTTGTGAATTATACATTTCCAGTTTAAAAATTCCGGTCCTCGAGATTTCTTAAACTGAAGTTTCTGTGATTATAGCGAGGCTTTTCCAAACCAAGTAAATGATTGCCATTTTACTTCCGGATTATTAGCAAAATGCCAAGTTACATTACTAGTCAGAGTTTGTTTAAAAAAATTCGGATTAACCTCTGCCATTTAAATCAAATCATAACATGCAGAAAACCTTTCTGTTCTCTAGTCAATGAGGTCTACCGCCGATCCTTATCCCAGTATGAAGCACTGTACTGTCTCGCACCGGTGACTGTCAAACCATAGACCACTAGTATCCAAAGACCTTGACGAATTTGTCCTTCGATTCAATTGCATTTTAAGAGATTAGTTGACTGACAGGTTAATACATCCCTCGTTAGGTTCTGGAATAGCTTTCGAGTGTTTTGTTGTGTAGAGACATTAGGTTAATTGGAAAAGCCGGAGAGATGAAAAATATGCAACGCCTTCGCCGGGAATCGAATCGCGGACTTCTCAATTACGCGCTGAGTGTGCAGACCACTACACTACGAAGACGGGAAAAATACCTTATATTTGTAATAAATAACTTAAATAAATTAAAACTAAATAATACACAGTACAGTATAACTTCAGATAGATTCACACCAGTTATTCAGATTGATTTCTTTCTTTCGTTCTGTGCCACGCAATATTACGCTTGTTGATAATTTGTCGCGGGATTTTTATTCAAGTAATATAAAAAAAAGACAGTACAAAACATATTTTTTAAGGATGGGATAACTGAATCTTCGAGTCCCACGAATCTTTGAAAATATTCGAAATTTCAAAATTCGGATCTTGTGCCCCGTTTTCGTCACTGAGAGCTTTCAAATCCTACCCTAAGAAACTTATAAACATTTCAACTGAAATTTTTTGGAAAGTTTAGTTTTATTGATGCCCAGAGTGTTTTTTTTTTTTTTTAAGAACTTAAATGTTGCAATTGGCATGGATTGGATTTGGGTTCTCAGTATCAGTTCTTTTGAGCAGTGGTTCCCAAAATTTTTTTTGACTCGCGAAATCCTTTAGGCTAATCGCATGTCTTATACGTTTCTGATATCTAAGAATAGTTTGGTGTAGGAAAAGTCATAGATAATAAGCGAATGTAAAGTAAAGGGATAAATAAACAGTTGTGCAATAACCATGAAATGAAATAAAATATTAAAAATTGACCATAACATCTCAATTCATTCTCAACGTAATAGTATTAAACGTTAGCGAAACGTAAAGATTTTTCCAAAGTGCAATAAATCACACATTTGTACTACAATAAATAAGTTACATTAATGAGAGCATCATTAAGGTTTTTACAATTAATTCGGTTCCTACAAGTTAATCGTTACATATGCAGTTCAATGAAAATTCATATTCGTTCATTACTTTATTAGTCTGCATCAGTAGACAGTTACAATTTAATTTTGCTATTATGTAAATAAAAGACACTGTAGGCCTAAATTAGGTCATAACATAAAAAAACGTAAAATTGTTTAAAATGAGATACCTGCAGTTGTATTTTTGTGCGCAGTTTTCAGTTAGGTTCAACTGCTGATAACTGCAGGTAAATGCCTTGTTCTGCATTAATGCGGATTCTGTATACTGTTTTGGTGCCTGTAAATAGGCGGAGAATCCTGCTTTAGAGGGATGTGTAGTTGAGAAAAACCGTAATATTAATTTCGGTTTCTCGGATAAGATTTTGAATTCATCTTGTATACAGCCAAAATTCCGATAGTGTCTGGTTTCGAAACGCGTTTTTCAGTTGGCTATGAGATATCAACTGTATGATGATCTCATATTTCGTTAAGCTGGGATAGACATACATTCAAAGTCATTCAAACACGTTTTCTTGAATTGTCAGAAAATGAAGTTCAAACGAGTCTTTCAGTAAGTTAACGCTGCTAGACGTATGTTTCAACGAAATCGTAACCCTACTCTTAGAGAGTTATATAAACAAAAATATCTTCACTTAAGGCATAGTTACAGCTTAAAGCTTCAGGATTCAAAGCTTAAGTCTTGGAGAGAATTCCTAATGAGTATAAATGAAAGGAATGTTTGGAAAAAAATATATACGAATGGTATAAAGAAAAATTTTATGAAAGGAATTGAAGTCAGTGGAATTTATCTCCCATCTGGTAATTGTACAAAGTCGCTTGAAGAAACTGCTAATGAGGTTCTTAACAGAAGCTTCCCACGGACCATTTTAGCACGGATAATTCGTTTCATAGAATGATTAGAGCTGGAGCTTCGTTAAAATTATGTTGCTAATCCAGATCCTCCATTTACTATGTCAGAAATTAATAGTGTTATAGAAAACCTTAAATGCAATAAAGCTCCTGGTCTTGATTCTATTTCAAACGAAATTTTTGAAGCAAGTTCATATGAATGTTTCCAAACTTATTCTCCAAAATCTTCAATACTTGTCCTGAAGGCTTGGTTCATTTCCTTCGTTGCTGGAAAACAGCGAATGTCGTTTTAATCCCTAAGAATAGTGGTTCCTCGTATCCCGCATTTAGATAACTTGAGATGCATTAGTCTTTCTTCCCAGTTTAGGAAAATGCCGAGAAAAAGCTGTTTGTTAATAGAATTACCTGGTTCTTGTATAATAAAAAAAATGCTATTAAATAAAGCTCAGTTTGGTTTTACCCCTCATAAGAGTTGTGAAGATGCTCTTTTGTACTTAAAAGACATAGTGGCACGAAGGTAAGAACAGAAACTTACACACAGTTTTAGTGTTTCTTGATAATCAAAGGTGCTTTCGACCACTCCTAGTAGACCTAGGATACTTTCTTTCTTTTAAGGAAAGCTGGTATTCCGAGTAATATTTTACCACCTTATTAAAGATTTTCTGCATGATAGATCTACATTGCTCTCCCTTGGCCACGTTTCTTCCTCCCGCATTTTGGAGAGAGGTTGCTTTCAAGGCTCGGTTTCCGGTCCTTTATTGTGAAATTTAATTATGAATGATCTACTCAATAGACTCTCACATAGTCCGAGTTGTAAAACAATTGCTTTTGCTGATGATCTACTAATTTGCTTTCAAGAGAAGTGTCCATTACTCTCTTTAATACGGCTCAGAACAACCTTAATATTATTTCCAATTGGTCCAAAGAACAGAAATTGGAATTCAATCCTAATAAATCTAAAATTATGGTAATTAAAAGAAAGCATGTCAGCTATACAAACCAACAACTGTACTTGGATAATACCTTACTCGAAACGGTGAATGAAATTAAATATTTAGGCGTTATTCTTGATCATAAGTTTTTGTTGGAAAAATCATATTATGTATTTATCCATAAGTGTGAAAATATACTTAGAGGACTTAATCGTGTCTCTTGCATACTTTTTGGTTTAAAATCTAATGTTATTGATATGATTTATAAGCAGGGTATTGTCCCCTTTATTTGCTATGCTTCTAGAGTGTGGGGGAACAGCTTTAGAAAAGAAGATTAATTCCCGTATACTTCGCAGAATTCAAAGAAGAATTTTACTAAGAGTTGTGCGTGGCTACAGAACAATTAGCTATGAAGTCTGTTTCGCAATTTCAGGATTTCCTCCGATTGCCCTTCATGTTTTGAATGACAAAAAGTTTAAAGATGCCATCAGAAAATTTATGTTCGATACCAAGGTGTTGTTTGAAGATCTTCCTCATCCTGCCAATCGTTTGCCAATACAAACTATCATTTATGACAATTCTGTTGATGATAATTTCACTGTTGTGTGTTATACAGATGGCAGTAAAATTAATAATCGAGTTGGATTAACTTATGTCGTTTTTCCATCATGGTTCTGAACTGGAATATAAACTCTTTAGAATTCCCAATGAATGCAGTGTTTTCCAAGCCGAATTACTGTGCATCAGTGAGTCAATTAAGTGGATATCTAACAACCGTTCGCTAAGTGCTAAATTTCTTATTCGCACTGATTCTCTTTCATCCTTATATTCTCTTAGGAATATCTTCTCATATAATAAATTAATTGTCACCTCCCATGCTCTTCTTAAAGACCTTAATAATAAAGGTGTTGATGTTATCTTTTCTCACGTACGTGGCCACACTGGCAATCTAGGAAATGAAGAGGCTGATTGGTTGGCAAAACAAGCTACACATCTTCAAGTAATTACTCCAATGATACTTCCCAAGTCATTTTACAAGAACAAATGTAGGGATGATACAATACTCGAGTGGAATGAAATATACAGGAATTCTACTACTGCCTCTTTGACTAAACTTTACTTTCCCTTCATTCCTCACAGACTGAATAATAAACACTTTTTCTGCAATTTTGAAGTTACTCAATTTCTAACCGCACATGGTAAATTCAATTCATATCTGAAGAGATTTAGATTATCTAGTACAGACTTGTGTTCATGCAGTTTCGGGGGAGTGCAAAATGTCGAACATTTATTGTTCTATTGTTCAAAGCTCAAGGAAGGACGAAAGGAACTCATTTCTAGGTTAAACTCTGTGAATATTACATTTCCTCCCCCTCTTCACGTATTTGTCAACATAAAATGGCTTTCTCTTTCTTCTGTAAATTTATCTCTTACGTATCATCTGTTAATTTGTAAGTTTATTTTATTTTGTGTTGTGTTGTTGTATTTGTTTGTTTTTGCACAAGGATTTAAAATTTTCAATTAAAAAAAAAAAAAAAAAAAAAAAAAAAAAAAAAAAAAACGAGTCTTTCAAAGCTTTGAGAGGCATCTAAATATATTTCTGTATTTCTTCTTAAATCTTGATGTTAATTTCTTGTAAAAAGGTTTTTATATGAGAGATGCAGTCATTGTTTTATGCCTAGTCTTCATCACTTTAAACCGAAACGTTTAGTTAAAAATGCTATCTGTTCATGCAGTTCAACAAAATATGTCAACGACTTTCCTCGAGACAACCACCTTACTTCAATCTGTAGCAAAGAGAGACTCGTAGGGTTTTCCCATATTCTTTGCATATTAATATATAGGGTCAGTGCAATTTTACACAGTTTATTATTTGATAATGACCTTTATTAATGAGCCCTAGCTCGCTACACAAATGAACGTTACAAAAATGAGCCTAAGAAATCAAGATTACCGCTATGAACATTCACTGTGAAGTGACTCCAATGCCAATGCCAATGATTATAAGTTACGGAGTGCCTATGGTTCAAAACCATGTACCTCCACATCAGAAAAATATATAAGTAGTGAGCAAAAATAGGAAAATATCGACTAGCCGTCTCTAATAGAGACGGCTATGAGATTGATAAGCTACGAGATTCCATGAATTCTCATAGGGTCGAGTGTGAACAAAAAGCTTTCCGAATGTGTAGGTTCAAGGAATAACAAATCACCGTCTATTAGAGAAGACATGAAATTGAGACTGGCGAAATTTCGCGTTCGAAAGGTACGTTCTGATTTTCGTCGTATTTTTTGTTTATTATTCCTTAATTTCATTAATTTTTTTATTTTCTTAGAGCAACTGAAGGGCCTAAGGGTTCCGCGAAGCACAGATTGAGAACAGCTGCTCTAGAGAAAATTCAGTTTTCCATGCTTAATATTCATGTGTGTTTACGCGTAAAATAATCCTCTTCTTTCTATACTTAAAATGGAGTTAAAAAAATTCTGAAAAACAATGGAGAGAATTTAAAGTAATTAGATATATATGTGTTTTTTGGCCACATTTTACCGCAAAGGAGCTTTAGGTACCAGTTTTAATTACATACTCTATTCATATCATCTTAATAAATACAAATTATTTTTAAATATTGTAATATTCTTAAATTTTTTTTCATCATACCTAAATTTCAAACTCTGATTTAATTAAAAAAATTTATGAAGTACATTAGGACCTCTTATCACGAACAAACAGATTTACGAATAAATTTTCTGAACAAAAAATGTCTTGTGTCAGACAAAGAAAGTATCTTGAGTTATGAACACTCAAATGGTTTTCAAAGATGTTTTAAAGTAAACTCTTGACACAGAATTAACACTCAGATACTTCTGGAAACATCATTTTAATATTTTCCATTGCTTAGCTGTCAGTAACAATACCTGACACTAAATGATTCACAGGACTATGAATTTGGCCTGGAGAAAATTAGGCCAGATTTTTTTGCATACAGAGACTTCGACGGCTTTGACACTGAGGCCTTTAAAAAAAAAATCCAATATTATTCATCTATGTCACTACACAAATCTATGGGCTTGAAGTGAAGATCTTAGAGTTGTTAGGCCCAGCAGCAGCCGAGCGGTAAAGTCGCTGAACACTGGTAGTTCGGTTCGACGTTCGAATCCCGCGAACGGGCTGGCTGCATGGGCGTTTTCGTGGTTTTCCCCATGTGTAACGTGTATACGAACCAGTTTCCCTTAGAAAGTCCTCCACGAAGGCATCCCTCTCCTTAGGTAGATAGCCCTAGTGTGCTTTGCCGTAATCTCAATAAACCAAACCAAACCTTAGATTTGTTAAAAGACCATAAAAATGAGCTCAATAAGACAGAAACAGAACAACTTCAGAAGCAGCGCCAAAAGGCGACTATAGAGGAAATATCTTCATAGGCAAAGGGATCATAAACTTAGTTCTTTTTATCGAAATTTGTAAAAAATGGGGAAAGATACAAGGTTTCGTGTAATAGTTATTACCTTGATAAAGCAATAGAAAGCTAAAACTTTAGAGTACATCTTTTGAGCCAATAACCATTTCTCATTTTTGAATAATTTAAAATATAGACAACAAAGCACATTAAACAAATTTTAAGTAAAACGAAAGCCTACTCAGTTTCAGGCAAAAATCGAATGATACTGGAGATAAAAGGAGAGACGAATGCCTCAGACCATACTACTTACCTAATGTTTTTATAGAGGTCTTCATTCAAACAATAATGTCTCTTCCCTTTCTTTTCCTTATCGCTTTTCACTTATGCCATCCACTCTATTTGGTGCAGGTACGTAAATCTTTTTTCGTTTAGTTTATCTATTTGAAATTGCGTTTATCTTTTCTGACCCCCTTTAAAGATTTTAAAGGTGGCCAGAAATCAATCCCCATGGAAGAAAAATGGTTCGGTTTACGAACATTTCGTATGACGAACGGTTTGGTTTATTAAATTACGGCAAAGTACTCGAGGACTTTCTGCCTAAAGACAAGGGTGCCTTTGTGGAATATTTTATAACGGAAACTAGCTCGAATTCAATTTACACATGCAAAAAACCAAGAAAACGTCCATAAACCAGCCCTTGCCTGGAATCGAACCCAGGTCGAGCTACCAGTGTTCAGCGATGTTGCTGAGCAGATGACTAACGGCCCTCTGGAATGAATTACATTCCTAAACCTAGGTTTTACTGTTTTTCCTCCCTTCCTTTTTTTTCTTCTGATAAATTTTATCCGAAAAATTCGAGATTTGTCAGACACGAAAATCGACTCGAATTCGAGAACATTTAGAATTCGATCTAACACTTTTAAAAGAAGAACACTTTTAATTCGTTCTAACACTTTTTTCTTTTAAAAGAAAATATTAAAATTAGATATATATGTACGGCATGTAGACTGATGAACGATGTTTATTAAGTAACTAAATATTAAACGCTACCGAAAAAGCAGTTACGTACCAAAAACACAGACAAGAGGCAAAACACAACTAAAAGTTTATTAATACCACTTTTTATTCTTACATATAAAAATTTAACAAAATTTGTCCACCTTTAACTCACGGATCTTAGAAATACAATTGCTTAAATATACTCAGCATTATAAATAACATGAATGTCAGAACAACTCGATCCCAACTATCCGCGATTTCAATGCCTAAGCGCTAGTAAATGCGAGAAATCCCTCACCAAAACTAAATCGGCAAATGATGGATGGTTCACGACAATAAATTGCTTTCTATGCGCTGCTAAAGCTCTTCTTTTCTTTCTATATCATACATTCGTTTGCTATTTAAACTCCACCTAATTTTCATATCATTAAGAGCTGATAGAAGAAACGGAAGTTACAAGACAGGGATAGCACTGACGTAAAATAATGTGTCTTCTAACAAAACCGGATATTTGAAGTTCTGTTGCATCAACTTGTATACAATACAAGGCATACATATCATGCCTGATATCAAGACCAAGAACCTTTGTATGTTTTGCTGTAAAATAATTGATTGCTCATCATTCTAACTATTTAAGACTGCAGTTTTTTTTTTTTTTTCTCCCCTTTCCCAGACTAGAAAAATTTGTTTGGATTCTGAAAATGGTGGAAAAGTTGGCGCCGGAGGAGATATCGAAAGTAATATACAAACAAAGGGAAAGGCTTTAACCCACTCTTTTGGAGATTGCGTACAGTTAGGGGATCGCATGTGGAACCACATTCATTCTCTGCTTTTTCGCACAACAACTGGTAGCACCTACCTTCCTCCAAGCGTATTTGGTGGTTCATCTTGTCATCCATCCAAATCACGGTTTGAACGCATATGCCCTGCAAACACACTCGCTACAAAGACTTGCAAGATACACCAGAATCAAAAATTATAAGCTGTTGCAAGAGCTTAAATTTATAGAACTGCAAATGCATAATTAACACATTTATTAAATCTCTTATTAAAAGAAAAAGAAGTAAAAAGTATTTTTTTTCTTTCATTTTCCTAAATGATCGACACACATAAAAATGTGCATTAAATAAATTAGCCTAGTGTTACAAAATCGTTCGTGTATACGCATTAAAAATTACATAATACGCATTAAAAATTACATAGATCACACAGATCATCATTCGTGTAAAAGGCATGCGGCCTGTTGAAGTCTTTACCAGTCTATATTTCTGAGGTTCTTAATGGTATAAAGATAAAAAAAAAAAAAAAAAAAAAAAAAAAAATCCGAGCAAGCGGAAAGTCTTAAAGCACTGGATGCGGGTCTCGGAAGAGAAAGAAGTACGACGCCATCTGTTGACTTTAGAATCAATTAAAAATTGGAACTTTGTGGCTATACCGGCCATCAGCAGAAAAACAATATCCTGCTCTTGCCAGTTCCTGATGTAGTCCCCTGACAGCGAAGAAATCTGAATAGAATTTTCTCTCCTGAAGGTGGAAATGTATGGTGAGAAAGAGAAAAAAGAAGCTCCTTGCTCCTGTGCTGGTACTTCTTAGATGGATTCCGTCGAGCAGAGGCTGGAGGAAGGAACTTCGGATGATTCGTGTAGAATAGCCAATTACTTCAGATGAGCACTTAAAATGTTCAGAAAATCCAAATTAAATTTGATGATAAAAAGGTCGTCAGAAACACTTGAGTAGAAAAAACCATTGTCACTGCGCATCTGGGTTGTTGGTTGAGATTGAGGCGACTTCTGATTGGTCGACGAGATCTGAACTCAAGAGATGGGCGGTGAAGGAGCCGAAACATTTGTCTTCAGCCAGGATTTCGTAGATAAGAATATCAGTGAAATTAGCGGGATTTTTGTTGATAATATTGTTGAAAAAGTTGTTGTTTATTCTGCTGAAGGCAGTCCTGAATAGTATCCATTTTCAAGTCGGAGTGGAGGGTCTTATTTCGAACATAGTAAGGAGCTTTTGTGATGATTCTTAGCACCTTATTTTGAAGCACTTGGAGTTTGCTAATCTCCAAGTGCTTCAAAATTTTCAACTTTTCAGATATGAGTCAAAAGTCCGTTTTTTGACATATATGAGCACTCCGCCACATCGGTGGTGAAGTCTGTCACTACGATAGGTGAAGTAATTGGCTATCCTTAACGAGTGCAAAGGGTTTGCATGGGTTTCTGTAATTAAGCAGATGTCCACGTCATTTTGCTGGATAAATTCTTGAAGTTCCGGTATCTTGGAGGTAATAACATTCTGCGCGTTCCAAAGCAGGATCTTAACAGGGGAACTTTGCCGAGAGATGTGATTAATAATGGTTGGGAGTAGCTGGCCTGACTCTGCCTTAGAGGGGGCAGGGAGTGATTTCGCTACATCAGGCAAACATAGAGATGGTTGCTGTGAGATTTTGAATTACAGCATTAGCTTCGTCGAGTTTTGTTTGGAGCTCACCGAGTTGTGAGAATGCAGCTTGTGGCGCCATCTGTGGGGGAGTAGCATTACTATTCTTGACTACTCTATCTACATATGATATGCCTTTTTGCACAAATTTATGAGCCTGGCTTGGGGTAGAACGAACAACCTTTAAAACTGGCTGTCCACAGTGGCAACACTTCGGTAGCACATCCTTGAGCTTGGTGCTGTCACGAGACTTATGCAGGTTGCACTTATGCAGACTTAATTTTTAATGACTTGGTGCAGTCATTAAAAATTACATAAGAACAGCTTCTTATATACATCTGCTGGATGTGCAGTTTCGATGCGCTGGTGATAGCGCTATTCATTTATTGGACACCAAATTTTAATCATTTGCATATTTGCTCAAAACTTTTATGAATATGAAATTTTAAAGGCATCGGATGATTCCTTTTTGATGCGTCGATTTTTTTTCGGGGGGGGGGGGGGGGAGGGGGGGTATAGTGCATAATCTCCAGAATACAATACCAAATATTGTAATATTACTAAGAATTTTCCTCACAACTACTGTTACACACTGGAAGAGGATGTTTTTCAAAATGCTAATCGATTAAGAAACAGCTAAGACTTAAAAACGGGTACCTTTTATTTAATCAATTTTAATGTACGCTATACATCACAAACATTGGAGTAATTAAACGTACTTCTAGAATGTCATGAACAATTTTTGTAACAGAAAAACAAGCAAAATAATACTTGAGAATATTGGAATTAAATTTTAATTTTTAAAAAATAGCGCTTTTTATTTATTTCCCTAACGTTTTATACCTTTTATTTTATTTATTTATTTATTGTGTTTGTGCACTGAGAGGGTGGCGAACAGATCACCCTGGGCAACAAAAGCTCTGGCTACACCGCTGACTAAATATCACTTATTGTGTTGGACAATCAATGGCATCTTAAAATTAGGGAAATATTAAAATTTGTATTAAAAATCCATTGCTAAGAATAGCAAAGAAGGCTAGAACGTTGACAGGAAATTAATATGAGCCTAATACATAAACTGAATTTCAGAAGCATATCAACACATTACTTCTGACAGTGTTAATGTAGATTAGTGTCAGGAACAACTGAGTGTCTGTGGTGACATTATTAGAATCAGTAGATAATAAATTGATTCCTTAAGGCAAAATCAATAAAAAGCGAGAAATAGATGAAACGTAATGTGTCCTGCAGGACCTTCAATCAAAATGTCAGTCATGTATGTAGAAGTCAGGGAGGTACTTTTCAATTTCAAAGACATTATTCATTGGCAATTCACCACACAAGATGCTACATTCAGAAGCGCTATTATCTACTTCTGATTGCTGTGTTATGGTTGTTTGAAGAAATCAGTTTGTAGTTCAAGTGCAGTTTGCAGTTCATAATTAGTTGGCAATAAATAAAAATAGATACACCAGTGTTTCCACACCCTTCTGATCTACTAGGTTTATTAAGTTGCACATTGTTGTATTTTGAAAGATGAAACCTTTTAAAGGGGAATATTTTTTAGGTGAAAATGCTGTGAACGTAGTTTTGAAAGATGCTAGAAATATTGCCATCAACAATCTATTTTAGAAATGATTTTGTTTTGCTTCTGCCATGAGTAGTGGCGTTCACAGCATTATTACTAATTGCACTTCTTAAAGCTTTTATCTAATTACATACATAACACACATAAAATATTCAGAGCATAAATATCCATATATAGAAAAAAAGGATTTTTAAAAAATTTGTTTATTATATAAACTTTTATAACAATTACATTATACATACAGATTCTTTGACATAACATTACAGTAAATAAAATTTTACTGCCCATATGAGGAGGCAGCTTCTCACCATACAAAGAATGCAACTTTTGATCATATGCAAAGGCTATAGAACATCCCCAACTGCGGCACTGCAAGTGCTGGCGGATATCCCTCCACTGGACCTTCTAGTGGAGAGAGAATCACTATTAGTAAGGACATTGCGCCTAGAAAATAACGTCTCTCTGTGGCAAAAGACATTCTATCACACAGACTTTGAGAAGCGCAAGCCGATCATGCTTGGACACTCTGCAGATACTGATTTATCGCACACAATACACATGCAATACACGCCGCCAAATGAGAAGGCATTTACTATTTATACAGATGGCTCAAAGACTGAGAAAGGCACAAGCTGCGCCTACTGTGTACTCCAAGAAGGAGAAGTGGTTAAAACTTGGGAAATACGACTGGCAGACAAAAATATCGTCTTTCAGGCAGAGCTTCTTGCATTAAAAGCAGCCATCAATTTGGCAAAATATCAATTAGGAATAAAGGTTAACATATATAGCGACTCTGCCTCAAGTTTGGAGTCCATCCGAGGGCACTAGACAAGGAGTCCTTTGGTGCAAGATATTCAGAAAATTCTTCTAAGTATCCCACCACATGACAGACCTATCCTGATCTGGGTTCCAGCTCATGTGGGTATTACTGGCAACGAAGCGGCGGCTTGCGAAATCTGCAGCCAATGACTCCAGTAGATTGGAAAACGAGTAAGTGTTCCGCAGTCCTATTTAAAAAAAACCAAGCTCAATAGCCTTTTACAAGAATTCCACTTGCCATTCTCAATATATGGAATATGTAACGTTTACTTTTCTTTTCCTGATGTCGGTGTAGTTTTGTTTATATAAATGTGATTGTATGTAATTGTATCTCACTTGGCACTGAGAGACTTGCACTGACCTTTCCTGTTACTGATGACTGCATGTATATATCTATATTAAAAAAATAGAAAAAAATAATATTTATAAATAAGAAAATAGCAAGAATTATTATTTAAAAAAAATAAAAGAAATAATAATAATTGTCATAGTTATGTTATCTTGTAATGTTTTTTATATGTATATTTCTCTTTCCAATCAACATTCGAAAGTACTTTTGTTCTACAGGGGGTAGGGTCTTTGAACCCAAGTACCCCGGTGTTTGGACACCATTCTACAGGATCTGGCTTTACAAGAATGGCAGAAAAGATGGGAAAGGGAAAGCACAGGGAGGAGAACCTACAAGTTCTTTCTGAAAGTTATGTGCTCATTTAATACAGTCAGTGGAGCACAAACTCAATTCTACACTGGTCATGGTTCCTTCCCACATTATCTTAAGAGATTTGGCATACGAACATCAGAATTGTGTGAATGTGGTAAGGTAAGTGATGCAGATCACTTCCTCTTCAACTGCTCACAAACCGATAAACTTCATTTAAAAATGCCAAGCAGTGAATACTGGCCGCAATGGGCGAAGAATACTTGCGGCAGCAAGCAGACGAAAACTAAAATAGAGGAGGAAATCAGGCTATATTCAGCAAGGTACTAAGAAATTCTCCCCCTCCCTTGAGAATTGTATCTTCACAGCATAATTTTAATAGCAATTCAAAATACTACAACAACTGAAAATCAACACTAGAAAAATAGCTCACCCCGTAGAATAATAACAGGACTGTAAGAGCAAAATTATTGTAACGTAAGCATATTACTATCCAGTTTGTATGTACTTGACAAAAATAATATTGTAAAGCAGTTTAAATGATATTGAAAATCCAGTCAATGTGTAAATGAATTACAAGTTTAATTTGATTATCTCAGTAAAAGTACTGTAAATATGAATTTAGATAATGTTTAAATGTACACATAGCTGTCATGATTTTATGTAACTATCATATGTAACTTATACAAGACAATGATTGTAATCAACATATCTATGCTTATACACAGGCCTTGTATGCCCATGTAATATTTATATTTATATTTTTACATGGAGGAAATATTCCCTTCTGACGGGATGACTAAATAAAATTAATATTACAGTGTTAATCACTGTAAGACTTTTACAACAAAGTCAGGTCAGTGGTTATCTCAGGCGGCGCCAGTAAATAAAATTACATAAGACATGACAGTTTTTACTTACTAGAAATATATCAACTGTCATGTTTTGTAAACATTATCATACATATTTACATGTTTTGTACATTTTGGCATGCAAAAATGCATTACATATAAAAAATACATTCTGCAGAATTAATATTTCAGTGAAATAGAACAATTGTTCCCTTATTTTGAATCTAAATTTAACATTTCACTAAAAGAATTGGGAAGTGTATTAGAAAAACTTATTGTGTGTTTAATTATTCTTGCTTACGTATACACACACACACACTCATATAGCCCCCAGATGATTCTCTATTGGGTTTCGGCATGTGTTTGGCTTCTCTTTCACAGGGGCAAAAAAGCATGGCAAGTGCAAAATGGAAAAGTACCAAATACAAAATACACTTTGTATTCATGGAAAATGTCAGGAAAATGATTTTAGTTTCATCATCTTACAAAATATACAGCTGTTTTCACAGTTTCATAGTTTGATATATGATGTCAGATTTTCAAATAAAGTCAATTAAATGCACTTTATTGCAACTTTTTATTGCCTTTTTCCCTCTTCTTTGATTACTCAAAACCTTTTTTCTGCTTTCTCTGTCATATTAATATCATTACAATCTCAATAGTTGTGTAGGTAATACAGGAAAAATCTCGCAAAACGAAATATAAAACACACTACCTTGGCACATATTTTCACTTCAGGAACCGAAAAGCACAAGATCATTCATCCAAAAGTGCAAGTTCAGTGCACATTTTTACCATGCTATTAGTGTAGCCAGAATTTCTGGCTACAAAGTAAACAATCCTGTACTCGAATTGCTTTTCAAGAAGTATACATAAAGGCTAGTAGTACTGGATTGAGAGCACAATGGAAAATAAAATTACATAAAGCCAATTTACAATGTTTTCAAGAAAATAAAAGAGGTGGTCAGCAAGCAAAAGTGAGATTTATGTTTGATGAGTCTACTATATGAACTGCAAAGATAGATCTTGAATACACTGGTATTTTCATTGGCAGATGAATGTGCAAAACCCATGTTTTTCAAGATGAATAAAATCAATATGACAACTGTCTGCAGACTGCTGCAGTCAAACAAAATTTTTGCATAAAGCTGTGGCTGGAAGATGTGCATATGTGAATGTCAGATTTTAGTGAACAATCTTGACAGTTTTCATACTGTAAGACACTTAAAACTGATGTATAGTTTTCTGTGAAAACTTCAGCAAAATCAAATATTTTATTGTATGTGTACTAAACTCATTGGAAGCCAAAACCATAAAGCATCCCCAACAAATGGTCAATAATAGAAACTTATAACTGGAGTCTTACACAATGCACAGCTAAAAGTGCTTTCCTAATGTGGTTCAGAGTTTGGAAGAAGTTGAGAGCTGTAAAGAACAGGCTTGGTTAATCTATCAAAAACAAACTTCTATTCAGTTTTAAGAACAATGCATGCATGAAAGCTTTTGTGACTTTGATTGAGCTCCCTTTTTGTATTCTTACAAGATGTGTTCAGTTGGTTTCTGCTGATGTTAACCACAGTTTCTCCAGCTACAAGAATCTCCTAAGCTCAAAGTACCAATGATTTTTGTTCCAAAATATACAAATATTGAGCATTTAACTAGTATAACAGGTTTTTTTTAATGCAGTTAGTGCCTCATTTATTTCCTAATGATGGTAACTTATATTATTTATTGTAATGTGCAATTATGATGTATTTGAGACTAATAAAAAATGTTAACTGCTTTAAAACTGAATTAAAGGCCTTTTTTCTAAACCTTTTTTATGCATTTCCAGAGACATTTTTTCCATTTTCAATAATAGTTTTGAAGCTAAAATCCATTCTCTAGTTATCATCACCAGCTTCAGAATATATACACATCTAACTGCTTATTATACGACTTAAAATAAAATGCTAAACATTCTTATGAAAAATATGATTTTAAAGATTTAATTGCTATAAAATATAACAAATATAGCATACATGTACTTATTTATTATTCATCCACTTTTCAATTGCTATGATAACCCATTACACTAATTGCTGAATTTTAATAAAATGACAGAATAAGTTTAGAAATGCTAAATCGCAAGCCTAAAACTGGAGCTTCTTGAATAATATATTAATTTTTCATGCAATTTAGGCAATAAATGTACATTAAAAAAATTATGCTTTCTAGATCAATAGTTTTAGTTCTTTTACTATGCAGCAGTACAAAATTTTAAAAAATAAAATAAATAAATAAAATAAATAAAAATTCTAGGTAAAAATAGTAAGTTGAATTTCACAGTTTCTCTCCTATTATGAAGTGTTCTAAAACTTCATTTCATCAATCTAATTAATGAGGTATTGGCAATCAATAGCAATATTTTCAATTAAATTCAACAAGTATATTAAAGAGAAAATAAACATTGATTTATTTCCATAAACATTATTAGTTATTTTTAAAGAGTACAATTTTAAACATATAATCATTTCCAAAATTTACTTCATGCACTCCTTTGTTTTGAAGATTGCTATTCTAGATCATTTTAGAGTATATACATGAGACTGAAAAACTTTTACACAGCATTATGGATCCAAATTTTTATATCCCATCACAGTTTAAGATAAAAATAAAATTGCATACAAACAACAGGCCAATTCATTTTGAATTTCTGGCTACAAAGTAAACAATCCTGTACTCGAATTGCTTTTCAAGAAGTATACATAAAGGCTAGTAGTACTGGATTGAGAGCACAATGGAAAATAAAATTACATAAAGCCAATTTACAATGTTTTCAAGAAAATAAAAGAGGTGGTCAGCAAGCAAAAGTGAGCAAGCTTATTATTTACTCATAATAAAAATTAGCACATAATAAAAACAAATGCCATGTAGCAGAAGTTTTGAATACATAGAAAAGAAATAATTTGTTTAAGGTAAATATTTTCAAATGAAAAAAAAAAATATGTTGAAATATAATTTAAATAATATATCAGATATTAAAAGATGTAAAACAAATACTTAAAATTAGTTTTGAAACCAAGAGTTGAAGTTAATTGACAAACATAGATAGATTACCATAGTTGCTGAATTTCCTTCAAAATAGCACTTTTTGAATGGGGATGTTTGTAATAATGATAAAAATAAAAGATATAATATACAAATTCATTTTTACAAAACAACGTTGTACTGCATTGTTTACTAAAGATTTGTGTTAATTTCAAGACAAGTAATAAAGATTAATTTGCAAGAATGGGGACTTGATTACCAATTATTTAAATTAAAGGCAAAGCTTGCAAGTTCTATGCATCTCAGTGAAGGAGGTGCTTTCACTGAGAATTTTCTAAGAAAAAAATGGCTCTTATCCACTTTATATATGAGGAAAACCATGAAAATGTCCAGCCAATTTACCAGAATTTTAATCCATGTTGAAGTAGCAGTGCTCAGCAGTCTTACTAATCACCTGATGGTAGGGTGCAAGAACTGGGACTTTATTTTATTTGGATTATGGCAAAGTATACTAGGACTATCTGCCTAAGGGAAAACATATCTACATGCAGGACTTTGTCAGGAAAATTCACTTGTATTCATATTTCACTTTAGGAAAACCACGAAAATACTCATGCAGCCAGCTAATTTTCCTGAATTTGAACTCAAATGAAGTTACCTATATTCAGTGGTTATGGCCACCGATGAGTAAATAAAAAGTAGAATTAACTTCCAAAAGTATGAAAATTTGAAGGAAAAAAAATTATGGCAGTTATATTTTTTGTTCTTAAAATGTTTAACAACATAGATAATTAATTAGTTCTCAGGTATGAAAGAAGCAGAACGGATTACGTATTTCCACTAAAATTTCTTGAAATTTGAAAAAAAGAAAAAATGCATAGGTTCATGCTTTTCTTCTTATTATTTTTTCCCCTTTATGAACTATATTCCTGCACACCAGAAGTTCACTGAAATGATATTTTTAATAATTTAGCGACTTTGGATCACACTGTTACAGGAACATATGTTACACTATAAACCTAAAAAATTAATCATACTACAAAATATTTGGCAAACTATTAAATTCCTAACTATGTGGCAACCCATTTCCAGCTAGTAAAATATCTTATCAAGATCATAACGCCTTCCATATAAACCAAAGAACAGAAGAGAGATATTTTTGTGCAAGTTAGTGTATGATATTTCAGATTTCAGATCAAATGACCATTCATCTTTTGTACTCAACCTCAAGCCACTGTTAACAGAAAAAGGATAGACATATTTAGTAGAAAAGTTTCCTCTAAGCTTGACACTCTGGAAAACAGTGTGAGAGTGTACAAGGAAATTACTACAGTGACTCCCATTTAAGGACTCACATCGAGCCATAAAACATGACTCGATGCCGAATGAAAATGAATTATAAAAATTGAAATCTTCTCCTGAAACTCCAAAATAATAATCTTCATCTATGGAATCTGCTTGATAAGAGAGCGAACAGCAAATTCTTCCTGAACACAATTCTAAATCTCCTTTATTCCCATTGAGTTTCTGAAACAAATAACGAGTAACATTTGAAGGCAAACAACGATAATCTCTTGATGGATCCTTTGGCAGACCAAGAACATGTATACCACATACATTGTCAAAATCTGTAGATTCTTCATTAGCAACTTCAACAGCAACACTATTTTTTATAATAAAACGTTTAGGATTCAATGGAATGGACGTTACACGAACGTCATCATCATATGATTTAGGCACATTTGAAATAAGAATTTTACTTAATCCATCTGGATTATGAGTGTAAATTAATGCACCACTGGGAGAATATATTCCACTTCCTAGGGTCCCTGTTCCAGGATGGTGGACATTAGCAGCAAGAAGATTAACTTTATTTGTAATAGCCCAAGATTGTTGAAAAGGAGTAGCCCATGCAAAAGGTGTATGATCAAACCAATATGTTGGATACGCGACGTTAATTACATCAGCTTTCTCAACAGCAGTAACTGATTCTTTGAAAGATAAATCAAAACATACAAAAGTTGTAAATTTTCCAAAGTCTGTCTCAAAATAAATATCTTCATTATTTTTCAAAGGATTCATATCAGCTTCAAAATAAAGATGCCGTTTATAATATCTAGCAATTAAAGTTCCATCTCTATTAAAAACAACATTGGTGTTATGAAACAGTACACCATCATCAGGACATGAGGTAGTGTCAGCAGCACATGATTCAATATTATTTACATCACAAGTTTCAGAAATTTTGCACTTTTTTTTATCTACCATATTAGCAATTATAAACATACCAGTCTCTTTAGCAATACAACTTAACTTGGTTAGAATCTGATAATTATTAAACTGATCTGTTTGGTTGCACGGGTTATAAAAACCATATCTGGGATCTGGTATATCCTCCACAAAAAAATTTATACTACTTCGGTTTTGTTTCTCATGTGGATGCAATCCCCATTCAGGAAAAACAATAATATCAGCTTCCTAGTCAATAAAAAAGGGAGACAAAATAATTATGTCACAAAAACTAAATTCTCCAAATGTATAAATTCCATTATAATAATAACAAAAAAAAATTCAGTACTTTCTGATTATCTATAATACAACAAAAAAGCATTTACAAGGCAATGCAATAAGTCAGCAAAATAGTTATGTAGCAGCAAGAAAGGCTATGATATCAGCAAAAAGGTTGCATAGCACAAATGCAGAGCTGTGGAGTCGGAGTCGGGCAGATTTGGGGGTAAAAGGAATCGGAGCTGGAGTCGCCAAAAACAGGTCGACTCTGACAGCAACACTATTTTTGTTGGACAGTTTGAATTTCAAATGAAATTAAAGTGAACTGAAAAAATTAATGGCGAGTTATTATTTTTATTTATGGACTACATACATTAATAATATTTAGTTGTTTCCTATTTGATTGACATACTAATAAATAAATATAAGGGAGGAAGATAAATGTGATATTTACCATTATTCATTAAAATGATTTATTTAGTTACTTCTTCAGCATTATTGTAGCATAATTCCCAACAAGAAATAGGAGCCCATGGCTGCAAAAAGCATCAAATGCTGCAAATCTCATTGTTAAATTTAAGCAAGCAGAAATAGCAGCAAGGACTCCTAAAAGTGATGCCATTCTTAGGAGGCGAGTTAAAAAAGGTGCAATTATTGATCAAGCAACACGATGGAGAAGTACATAGTTGATGATAAAGAGGTTGTTAGAATCAAAAACTTTTTTAGAAGATCTAGATAACTGTTTTTTTAGAAGATCTAGATGTTTCACTAACAGAAAGACTGTGGAATGATGTTGCAGAACTGGAAACTTCTTTCTACACCGTATGTAGCCACAAAAAAGCTACAATCTGAAGAATTAAAAGGAGGCTTTTCTGCAAAAAAGAGAAAAATGTGATGTTTGTTCTTTCTAAAATGGGACTGCTTTTTGCAGAATGAATCATTTCTTCAATGAAGAAAAGAGAAACTAGTTTGCTAGACAATGAGTTCTTGCTGGGTTCAGTATATGTAGATCCAAAACACCGAATGTTCTTGGATGACAAACAAATTTAAAAAAAACAAAGAAAGCCATCTATGAATTTTTTATTAAGAATGTTAGGTTATTTAATTACAGCAAAGCCTCGAGGGCTATCTGCCTAAGGGAAGGGATGCCTTCGTGGAGGACTTTCTAAGGGAAACTGGCTTGTATACATGTTACACATGGGGAAAACCACGAAAACACCCAAGCAGCCAGCTCATTTGCGGTATTCGAACCTCTGATCAAACTACCAGTGTTCAGCCACTTTACCGCTTGGCTGCTGGTGGGCCTTTTTATAAAGAATGAAATTATTCTCAGAACAATTGGAGAATTTGAATCAGGACAGTCAAACTGCAGACATTGCAATTGAGTTTCTATCTAGTGATGAATTAGATTTTGAGAACTACTTTCAAAAACACTTTTGGATAATACTGAAAATGCTAAAGCAAAGCAAATACAATAAGAACCAGAGCCTTTAGATATAAAAATGAAAAAATGTAAAATTATTCTACACGGCCTTTGAAGAATACAGAAATATAGCGCTCGCAAGACACCTCTTTAGAACTTATAAAAAATCTATCTTGAAAAGTTAAAAGAAGTAGGCTAACAGTAACAGCTATTCCTCCTACTCAATTTAGTGTGGAAACTATTCTCAGAGTTTATCAAATCAGATATATGGCCCTCAAACAAGAAGATCTGCTGAGCTATACTGTTTTTTTAGAAATAACTAATGCCAGTTTTTTTCCCATTCATAATAAATTCTAAATAAATAAATATTTTGCCATCAATTTTGTAGCATGTATTAATTCTTATATATTAAAAAATAAGCTGTAACCCATGTGTATATTATATGTGTATATGTTTACATATATATATTTAAATTTGCTTTTTTTATCTTTATATATTTGTTAAAAATTAAATATATATATATATATATATATATATATATTTAATTTTTAACAAATATATATATATATGTAGAGTCAGTCATTTTCCCTACCAACTCCACAGTCTGCTTAAATGTACATGAATTTGGACTTTTGCAATTTTATCATCATTTTCATGATTAATGTTTCTTTTTGCAATGAGTAGATTTTGTTAGGTATTTATGTATTATCCCTTCGACCATGAAAGTTAGCTAAAATCGAATCACGAAAGATGGCACAGATCCTGCTAAAATAGACCCAAATATCTTTGTAGAATTCTAAAGGAACTGAGACTTCTTTATTTAACCCTCTGAGTGTTATGGCCGGCTTTATCCGGTCATGAGATTTTTTGTCATTTGTTATACATTACCTTATAATTTATGATATTTTGCTTTCTTACTTTCGATAATAATATAAATATCATTTTAATAAATGTAAGTTTATGAAAATAGAGCCTAAAGTAAGTAAATATACAAATTTAGCTAATAAAGTGTCTTTGAATACAGGTCTTCATGACAGATCCAAAAACCCATGCCGCTCAGAGGGTTAATAAACAAAAGTATTTGACCGCTTCATTTTTTGTGCTTCATAAAAATGGCTTCTATGAATCTTAGTATTTTGTTAGAAAGCCTGATTTTACAAGATGATCTATTTAGTACATGTATTACACATTAGTATATGTATGTTATGAGTACAAACTTCTGCAAGTAACTACTCCAATCTAATGCTGTTTTACTGGCCATATTCAGCTGAGTATATTGCACCCATTAATACACACTTTTCTTGATGATAAAATCCCATAACTTAGAATAGCCGACTGCTTGCTGTTCTGTAAAAAGTAGGTTGCTAATTTTGTTTCCAATATGCAAGGAAATACAGCAATAACAGTTAATTTATATGCATATTAAAAAAAAGTAACTTAATTAAAAACAATAAAGCACAGATGTTATGAGTGTGTTGTCATGTCCCACTTATCTATAATTTACACAAAATTGTACTTCCTGGAGACTGTTTTATGGTCAATGGGATAATATGTAAGTACCTTTTTTTAAGAACAAATCATAATGGGACTGTGAAGCTTGCTGACTGATGAAAAAGAAAGAGTTGTATTTCTAAAGTAGCTAACGAACTGCCTGAGAAAGATCCAGAAATGATCGATGAAATATCTAACGGGTTTAAAGAAGAACGAAAACATGAAGATATAAAAGACGGGAAGGAAGATTTTTATTCTCACGTGCCTGAAGTAGAGATAGAAGAAAGTAAAATGCGACTGTCAAGTTCCTAGAAACTGACAGTGATGTTATAAAACGCACTCAGCAAGTCCGAACCTCAAGTGCATGTGAGGCAAGAGGGAGAGCTGATTACAGTTTAGCTCTGCTCCATTATGCAATAAATTCCTCCCGTAGAATATGTGTGCATCCTAGAGCTATTATGCGAGAGGATTTATTCAAACCTGATACCTGTGTTTGTGAATCGGGTTCCGTTCATACTCTGATGTAAATTTGAACTGGTTCCCAGAAACCGGTGGAACCGTACATCAAAAGTCCTTTAATCCAACTCGTCAGGACTTTGGCGATTCGGATTATAGATCACAGTTTAAATCTGGTAAGATGGCATGCAGAAATTATAAAATTAAAAATATGAAACCGTAATTTATGAAATAAAGAACAATTATGATCTAAAGGGTATCAAAATTTACAAAAAAAAAAGCTTAATATTTATTTGTTTTTTTTTATTAAACATTTTCTTTCAATGTAAGTTGTTTAAGTTGCTTCGTTTTATGTGATAATACTTTCTCTTTAATTCTATAAACAGACATAATTTCTTGTTCAGTTACAAAGTTCCACTGTTCAAGTCCTATAATTGCTGTGTCGAGAATACCGACTAATTTGTCAATCGAAATTTTTTCGTTTTCAATAACCTCTGTGTCACTTCTTCGCTATCGGAAGCAATTATAATGACGAGGAATTTGATTTAAATCATATCAAGATGGAGTACATCGAGATGAAATACTACATTTAGTAAGAATAATAAACCAAACAATACTTTGCATTTTTATGTCGAAACATACTTTCGCTTTGTAGATCCTTTGGCAGCTCCATATCGGAAATTCTATTTGACATAATCGAAAGTTCAAGCTTACTTTTATAAAATTGCTCTAACAGTCTGCAAAAAATAATAAGCCGATCCAATTCGAAGATTAAGGAACAACGCAATCTGCAACATTAACTGAAATAGATAATTTTAGCTTAGCTTATACCGTCCGTTATACATAAACGCATGCGTAAACGTATTATGCAGTTAAAATTTACGCATGCGCTACGCAGAAAGTTTGTAGCTTTGGTCCTCTTTACTCATTCGCTTGGACTCGGATAAGGACTTTGACTTATTCCTAAGGACGAATTTGGGGAACCCTTTATTAATGCAAGTTGTTTCATTTATGTAACTCGAGTATTTTTATGGTGTACATTTTGGAAACCCTACATGACATGTTGGTTTGTAATGCATGATGGCATTGATTTGATTGTTCGAAGAACATTTCTCAGGGCTTATTTTCGCTTAGAAGTTGGTCAGGAAGTATGGTGCATTTTGTGCTTTACATGGTAAAATGACTGCCATTAGTAAACTGGAAGTTGGTGGTATAGAGCGAGGAGCAGAAGTGTTTTTTTTTTAGTGGTGAGGACAGAAGAAAGAAACTTGTTGGATGTAATTCAATGGAATATCTTACTGGAACAAGATCATATCTGATGCTGGAAGTTGCACAATTGTCTTTCTGATAATGGCTTCATTCACTTCTCGTAAATCATGCAGTGACATTTACCCGCGGAAGGCGCGTGGGGTGTATCATACCCCAACCCTACATAAAAGTGAATATTCCTACTTGTGAAACTGAAATTCTGTGCTGCTTTCAGTAGCTGAGTTTCTAGTTGTGGGACTTTCAGACGCTTTTCTTGCCGTGTATTTCAAAAAGATTTATCAGTATTTTGTTGGAACTGGGGTATGACACACACCAGCGCCTTTCCGTGTAA